GTTTTTGTTGAACCTGGTACAAAAACCCCATGTCAAAGTACTCCAAAAGCAGGAAATGCAAAAATAAGTGTGGTACATGCAACTTAAAACTTCCTACTTCCACACTGTAACTGCCCACTGTCACAGGCTGTTTCAAGCAAAATAACAGTGTGGGTGAAGGGCTTCAATAAGGGGGGGAAATACTGATTTAATGTACTCTCACTCCAGGATGCTGATGCCTCTTACTCAAGAAAGAAGAAATAAGGACAAATGTGTACAAAATCCTGCTTGTGCTAAGGCTGAGAAACTTTTTTCATACTGTGTGGCTGCAAACAAAAGCTGTTTTTTATCTGTTGTACCTTTGTCATCATGTAACTTCACAAATCTATCGAGAGGTATACACACTTGACTAAATAAAAATCTCTTTCTAAACATACCTGTTTCATGTCAAACACCCATAGACTGAATTTTTAAGCTTAGAAGAATTGAGACAGAAGAGGGTCAGGCAGCATTCTGTTGTTTTTCTGCTGCTATGGCAGTAGTAAATACTTGGTGAGCAGGCTAAGTAAGAATTGTATACCCACAGGATCCTGTTTCTCTCACTCTCCTTCCTAATGGATGTTGGAACAAAAAACCCCCAACCCCACAAGTAGTAGAAGCTTGCGATGTAAAGGGTAAGGATGGATAGTTTGCATTTGTGAAGTGCTCCTTTGGGAAAAGGAGATTATATTTCATCTTTGGTGTACAGGTGGCCTGAAAGCAAAATGTATATATGTAGGGCTAAATCCCTGATGGTGTGGCACATTTAGAAGCGCTTAATCTTTAGGTCTCTTAGCACCACTGCAGAGTCTGCAGTCCTCAGTCTTCTGCTTGTTCTGTGAAGTCTGAGGATCAGGCAGTGTATAGAGAAGCAGCAGAGAAGGGCAAGAGTGATGGTATAATTGTAACCCCTGTCGCAGGTGGTACTCAGCCTTGCTCTGAACCTGGCACATGTTAAATTTATAGAGCATCAGGGAGCAAGGAGCAGGGGAAGGTCTGGTAGCAGAACAGCCTCTAGCTGCAAGAGGGGGCATGGTATTAATGAGAAATCCTTTTCACAGCAGATTGCTTACAGCCAAGACACCAGTGCTAGTGTCAGAGCTGAATTAGGGCAGACATTGCATTATAGGTAATTTAAGCATGAAATAGAAGCCGAGGTCGCAGCTCGGTCAGAAACAGGCTCTTCCATACAAAGCAGAGGCCAATCTCAACAGTACAGGTGGTGCACTGGACAGCAACAGCTGTGAGGAACTGAGGGCTGTACTTTTTAATTACCATCCCATTGCCACCCAATTCAGCTGTTAGCTAGAAGCACCTCTGTAGTGGTAACTCACCTGTACTTACAAGCTTGGTGACCTTCCAGCTGCCAAAGTCCTCAGAAATGTTTGGATGTACTTCAGGCCACACACTATCCAGGTAAGAAAAATTCTTATATCATCTTACATCATAAAAGAGTAACAACCCATTTATAAATTATTGAAACTTCCCAGCCATGGCTGATTCTTTGCGAAGAGTGAAGTTTTTAACATGGCACATGGCATTTAACAAAGATGGAAACTACTGTCTAGGGGAAAAAAAAAAAAAAAAGACTAGTCAAATGACAAGTGTCTCCTCTCATGCTGTCCTGGAAGAACGGAAGGTTCATTTCACTTGCTAACGCATCAGTTCCCATACTGCGGTTTGTGAAACGTGCTAAAGAGGCAGCAATAAGTCTGCATGACAAAATGCAGCAACTCGTAATACAACACATGTGCAGATGATGTTCACAGGATGCTTTAGCTTCCATCCTCTAATCCACAGAAGATTTGGCAGTATTGTACACAGCAGAAGGCTTGCTCTCAGTTTACACACAGGTGTCTCTGCTTTTTCTCTACCAAAAAGTGTAAGCCTTTGCTCAAAGAGGAGTTCACTGCTCTTGCTTGAGCTAAGGACAGTTGCTGCTAGACGTGTAAATGCGGACCCACTTTCATGGCAGCATGAGAAGGAACAGCATGGAAGGAGTCACAGTAGCAATGACAAGGACCAGGTGGTGATGAAATTGCCTCTTGCAGAGAGGAAGCTGATGTTCAAGAAAAATGGCAAAAGCAGAAGTTTTCCAAAAAGGACAAAGCATTTGCCATTTGAAAACTTCATTTCCCTAATGCCTTGTTGCATTAAACCAATTCCTGTATGGTACATGAATGGGACAGAGGCAGTCTCCAGGACTTAATATCTGGTAAATGCTCAAAAAAAGGGGGTGGAAATCCTCTAGTAAGGATTTAAAACTCTTTAAAACTGATCTCGTTAAATAAAGGTTCTCCAAAGCCATGATGAAGGTGTCTTATGCTTACCTTTGTGTGATGAACATCGCAATCTGTAAAGCAAGTGGGTGTTGGTAAGAATTAAGTAAAGTGGATGCACATACCTGGTTAGAAAACAGCAGTTCTCAGTGGTCACATGGGAAAATGGTGGGGTGGCTTGTCGTAAGCTCAGTCCTAGATACTCAGTCTGGTACTAGTACTCCATCAGTAATCCAAATAGCAGCGTGTATTCTATGCTTATGAGAGCTGCAGACAAGACCAGGCTGGAAGGTGCTCTAAATTCCTGATAAATCAGAGAAATGCTCCAAAACAAACAGGGCACAGTTCAAGAGCACGCAAACAAAACAACGCACTTAACAGGGGTACTCAGCTGCACAAATTTGTGATACAGAACAAGAGGCTGTAACTCATGTTTCTGCCAAAAAAAGAATCTAAAGAGGGTTACAGAAAAATCATAACATGAATCGGGGTCATACTGTTGCAAAACATACTGGAACGCACGAACTGGCTCTGTATATGAATGAATAAGAGGCTGTAGGACATGCTGCCTGTGATAGCAGGGGACAGGATGTTACAACACGTTAGAGCCCAACTCCACATTCCTGTGCACAAACAGGAATTCTGCACATCACTAATTCTGTTCCTCCATCTGGTACCAATCGGGATCTCTGCTGGAACACCAGGGCCAGTTACCAGCAACCCTTTTCAAGGCAGCTGGGTACCAGATGGAGAGAACCAGAGGAAAGCAAGAGAAAAGGATCACAGCTCTCTTCCGTTTTTTCTCAACTAGTTTATTCAGTTTACAGAAGACAAAGAATGAGGGCAGAAATTACAGCCATCTTCAAATAAAAGACTGATGCTGCAAAAAAAAGGTAATTAAATTTTCTATAGACAGAAGACAAGTAGTAAGAGGCTTACAATGAGGCAGGAAGGTTTAATTGGAAAGTTGGGGTTTTTCCCAAATCTAACTGCTGCAAGAACAGCAAAGAACTGGAGCGAACTACTTGACGAGTTCATGATACTCCTGGTATTAAAAGTTTTAAAGCAGATTAAACATTTGCCAGGAGTGGTTCCTTTTGAGAGGGAGCTGAAATAGGTGCTCTCTAAAAGCCCTCCCAGATCTGTTCCCGTGATTCTGTACTTCCAGATGCAGTTCATGGCCAAGCAAGGTGATTTTAGGTTATCAGCACTTGTTATTTATGCTCCTGCACACCAAACAACCCCCTTCTAAAAGGTGCTTCCATTAATGTTCTGCGTGAATTTCATCCTGCATGTTAGAGTGTTAGACCACGGAGTTTGACAGGTGTTTCCTTACCACTTCTGAATTCCACTACAAGGTTTGCATATTTCTTTAAAATCATTATGGTCACAGATCAAAAGAAACAGTTAATAGCCAAGTACACAGTACGCAGTCCTGTGACAAATTTTACCTAATACAAAAAGGTCTTAGAGGAGTAAAAGCTGTAAACATGCTCCAAGTTATACAGCACTGGGTGTTCTAAACCTGTACTAATTCAGTTACGGAGCAGATCTCATTTAAATTGATTCTGCAGGTTAAAGACAGACAATTACCTACACGCTGCTCGGCACATGCCAGCAGTAACTACACTGTAACTACTGCTCTACAGAGAAAACACCTTTATGTGGTCATGACTGGTGGTAATGAACAAGATAAACAAGCCACTGGAGAGATGACCCAGACCTGTTTTCAAGGAGACCTGTAATATTACAAACCAATTGCCAAATTTTGTTCTAACCTGTGGTAAGGTTAAAAAAAATAAACTACTTCTGGCACAGACAGCTGGATTTCTGACCCCCTCCCCATCAAGCTCTCACTGTATTTGTGGAAGACTGGTTAGTGATGTGGACATAGGCTGCAAACAACAATATATATAGATATATAAAAAAATACATGGATAGTGGAAGAAGGAGATAAAATTAATCCATTTGGACTCAAATTCCTTCTCTCCCCGAATTACACGTTTACTTCTTTCATCAGGAGGTCACACAGGTTATTAATGTGTCAGAATGCATACTGTTTTATATAAATTCTCTTTGCCCCCAAAACAAGTATTTTGGTAAAAATCATCCCTTACAACTTACTTTGTTAAAGCATAGCCGATAACTTACTACAACTAAGGAAGATCAGCGAAAGTCATATATTATAACAAATGCTAAAACTGAACTCAGTCCAATACAAAATGCCAGAATAAAAAAAAAATCATATAAATAGTCATATGTACACTTTGGTTACCAACTCTGCGGTTGACGGTACTACAGTGAGCTGTAACCTGACTGTCAGTGCAAGTCACCTGTCCAAGAAAAAAAAAAAAAAATAATAAAAAAAATCAGAATGCACCAAAACCAGTTAATGATCAGAATTCTGCTGCTCTTCTCTAAACTGGAGAAGAGAATTTCAGCATCTCTGGCTCATCAGCCACACAGGCAATGGTGTCCCACATGTTCCAGCAGCAAGAAAACAGTTCAAAACTTCCTGCCTGCTGAAGGTTCTGGCTAGCACCATTTCTGTGCAAATTACGTACGCTGGCTTGGCACTGCCATCCAACGCCATTTTGAGAGTAAAATCTTATTTGTAGTGTATAAATGTAGCATGAACATTTGATTCCAAACATACAGATGGAAAGTACAAAAAACCCCCCAAAAAGCAGTGCTACCGACATTCTAGAACAAAGGCAGATGCAGAAGTTCAGATGAATAAACAGGGTAGCCAAGAGGTGGGTCCGCAGCTTGCACAGTAAGGTTTCGCAGAAGAACAGGGTGTGCCTGGATGCTGTAGCGTTCTTCATCATCATTTGTAGCGTACAGCAGCTCCCAGGACAGATTTGCCCACTGACCTCGGACAGCTTCGTCATTAAGTTTTCCCACTTGTACTAACAATTCCTGAAGAGTGAGGACTCGCCCAGTGTAAATTCCCTTTAAGAACAAACAGATCAAAATGTTCAGTACATTCTCCAAGAAGATACACAAGCATTTGGTTACAAAGCACTGAATGGGGCTACGTACTATGACTATCATCCCTTTAAAAATGGCAAAGTGTATAAACTAGTCTCCTCAGTTCAATTCTTCCTTCTAGGAAGATAATTAGGAAATATTGCTGTATCTGAAGAACAATGCAGTGTGATTTTCAACAACAGTGATGTCAGCTCCTCTCTAGCATAAATGTAAACTTTGTTTGCACAGCCTTCATGTTTTGGAACACAATTAAAAGGAAAAAAAAAAAAAAGCACTGGAAAAGAAAACCAAACTTTGACCTTGCTTACTAGTAATTTTTCTTCTTACCATGTTTGGGTCATGCCCCAGGGAAAAAAGGTATGGCTTTTCCTGAAGAACTGCTTGCTGCCACTCAAGATCTGATACCAGTCCAATGTACCAATCATTTTCATATTCTTCCAGGTAGTTAACCAGCTCTTTGAAGTTCTCAACTGGACCCAGGCTTGCTTTGTCAACCATAAGTTTAAAAGTGTATCTGAAAGGTACAAAAAGCCGTACAGTAACTAGTGCAGTGAAAGACAGAGGAAGAAAGCCTCTTCAAGCTACAGAAGGCAGGAAGGCACCATGAAATGTTACCAAGAACTAGCAACTTTGTAAGTTACTGCTTGTCAGCTGAGTCACTAGAAGTTAGTACAGGTATGCTTTTAGCTCACCCAGATGCAAAACACATTAGCTTAAACATCCTTCATTCACCTCAAACACTGTTCGAGCTGCCTGCTAATGGAAAGTGCCAAACATCTAACTCCATCACAATTCTCTTAGATTATGGGGACAACGAAAACGGGTTGTTTTTTCCCTACTTAACACAGCAGATTGCCCGTGCTGGAGACAGCTGCTGTGGAGAAGGGAAGAAGGAAGGAATCTTTGTATCACCCTCTTCACTGCCTGGGGTTACAGGCAATATTTATGTAGGAAGAAGCTACAAATATATTTAACTGGTAAGGTTTTAACATGAACTACTCTTAGTGAAGTGATACTTTCAAAGCACAGGACTCTCTATATCATTTTTATAATCTGAGGGAATGTTTTTCTTTTACCTGAATGCTTTTAATGCAAGTTGGAATAGCTCCGGTTTGCTGGTTAGCCAGTCCAAACCAACAGACCATGGAATACCACCAGTGTACGCTCTAAACACATGGCTCGGGGCAGGCACGGCGTTATCCAGTCCAAACAGACCAAAACAACACGACAATACTCCATGGATGTATAAGTCTTTCAAAGCTTTATCTTTCATAAGATCTTCAAGTAAGTTGGAAGGTTTTTCCTTCAGATGAAAAAAGTCCAGTTGACTCAAAATGAAATGGTACCATTCTTCTGGAAACCTCTGCCTCATTTCATTGACTTTGGAAGAAGGCACTGGGGCTGTTCTCCAATCTTCAGGGATGCTCAATAGCTCTGAGTAAGAGCAACTAAATTCAACCTGAGGTAAAACTTCTTGCTGTTTCCCTTTGTCTACTGCGGGAAGCCCAAGCACAACAGCCCTGTATAATTTATCTTCTGGTGACATTTCTTGTGGGACTTCTTGGCTCTGTGTTTCTACAGATCCTGGAATAGACAGATGTACTTTTGGTGTAGTTCCCAACTGCCCAGGTTCCTTTCTGTCTTTCATTCTGCCACTGGGTTCAAGATCAAAAATGTCACTATCATCAGTCCAGTCCTCAATTGTATCAACACTAAAGCTATCTTCTTCCCTCAGAGGCTTGGATCTTTCTACTGCACTGCTATGCTGATTTTCTGGAAATGATCTTTTTTTGTTTGTGTCGGCATTGCCTGGGCTTTCCCAAGTTTTTGATTTTTTATAACAATACTGGACAAGCATCCATACAAGCACTTTAATGAAATCATCTTTCAGATGCTTTAAATTCTCATGAGAGTCAATTATTCCAGATAACACGTTTCTGGCATCAGAATACAGCCGTACAGGTAGAACAGTACAAGGAGTCAAAATGTGTCCAAAATGGTGATTAGGAGAGAGAATCTTTGTGTGCTCCTGATGTTCGAAGGCCATTTCAAAAATTTCATCAACTCTGTGAGCTTCAGCAGCATGACAGGATGTTTCCTGCAATTCTAGCCCCTAAAACATAAATGAAAACAATTTGGGTTTAGTCTTCCCCAGCACATATCCTTAAATGCTAGCAAGCTGTTTTCTTGCAACAAAATTTTTCTGAACAAATAAAGATATGTTCCATTGTCAAGAATTCCACAACTGAACCTACAAATCTAACTGGAGATAATAGTAATAGCAAAGCACACACTACAACATTAGACACAGATCAATGTCTTAAACAAAACAAACAAACAGAAAAAATCTTTACCTCATATAGATCTTATTAGCCAGCTTATTAAAGATGTTGTGTCACAAGCTAGATGATAAAAAAATTTCACACCTGCTACATGTCAGTTGCAAGACTAGTTAATATAGTAATAACACTCATCTTAAAAAATTGACTGTAATATCAGGTAAATTAGTTACATTGCCAAAATGTTACACAGCAAAATGTTTGCATGAGTTCAAAACGTTAATGTCAGTCCTCAGCATGCAGTTACCTTAATGTTAACACCACAGTAAGTGAAGCCTTTTTCTAGCACCAATATCCACATCAGTCTGTCCTGAAAACGGCACAAGTAATGTGATCCAGGTAGAGAGAGACCTAGACATGAAAAAAAACCCAAAACAAAACCAATGGTATTACTGTAGTATTATATTGATGAAAACATTTTCTACATGCCAACTGAGAATTCAACAGCAAACATAAAATATTTCTGCATTGGCATCAAAATCAGTTAAAACTGGCTAACTAGTACCCTAGAATTTTAAATAAACTATCTGCAAATCTAGATATTGAAATTGTAGTGCTATCTTTGAAAAAGCTGATGAAAAACGGGAAAACCTCACAAAACTGCAGGACTACAATATTCATACTGGACCAGGGTTAAGCAACCCCACCCTCAATTCCCTTTGTAGAGACAACTTTCATTATTAAAGATCATCTTTGGCTGCATTTCCAACCGCACAGTTCCCACTGATGTCACCTGGAGATCTAAAATTCTTATGACTGCCGAATACATTAAAGAATCATCATGTAGCACATGAGTATCTTAATGGCCCTGTTTGCTGTGGAGTACAAAGTTTATTTGTTATGAGAGAAATAAAAATGTAACTCAACAGGATTTTTTACCTACGCTACCAGTTCCTAAATTGACTTGTCTGTATTCCAGAATGGTTAGAAAATATCCCTCTAGGATGTGAAATCCAGAGCGTAAATGATTCTGCTCCAGTGTCAGCTTACCAATGACATAATCACACCCATTTTACAGATACATAAATAGAGGCAGAGCAAGAGCACCTGCTCATGTTTAAAGATTTGTGAATCAGCATCATATGCATTAAACATTAACAGTAGATACAGTGAAAACCATCTGTAGTCTTCCTGAAATACCTCTGCGTGTCTGTCAGGGGGGAATAAATCTGATCCCACTGTATTAAGTTTGACATCACCAAAAATAAAGCCACACAAAATAAACTGGAATTTGAAAAATCAAGTTGCGAACAACTTCAGATCACACATCAAAGTAATTAGTGCTCAAAAATCACACAATCTGGCTCTCACTGTAAAAATTAGATGACACGTTCCCCCCCCTAAAAAAAGGTGCTTTTTCTCTTTTCTACCTATTTCAATAAAAAGTGCAATGCCAAACTTCCTAGCAACTGGTAGTTATACTATATTTCTTTGAAGTTATAGCCTACTGTCAACTTCTCCAATACAATGGTGCTGTTCTTTAGCATGACTTTGGCTGCCAGTTTATGACCTGCTTCTGCTGTCACTCACATCCAAGTGACTACTCACTTGCACAGAGAATTTTAGTTTTAGAATGTTGTAAGATGAAATCAGTGAAACCAACCATTAAGCTGTAGTTAAAATTTAAGTAACCTTTTCTATCCCACTGAGCTAATGAAGTGCATTTTCTTGCTAACATTTTGCAAAGATTTTAATTTTTTTCTTGCTAGCTGTTAAAGCTACTAAAACTCCTTTACACAGAAAAAAGTATGGTTTTAAATTAAAATAGAGACACACAAAGTGGTACCTCTTCATTTTGAAGTCATCTGAGAACATCACATTTTTTCTTGCTTGAAGACATTCATTCACAGATTTTCCCATTAAAGAAGAGACTTTTCTCCCCCTCAAGATTAGTGTTTTAAATTATTTAATCTGAGGCATACATGCCACCACAGTCATGATGGCAATGGGGAAACATTTTTATATCTGTACATATTATACATGAGATAGATACAACAGATATATATCAGATAGATATATTTATATTATATAATAGATATATTTATATTATATATGTTTATTTTATATATATATAAAACACACATAGGCTGAATGCAGTAAACAAACTGAATTGTCTCTCCTTTAGGGGAAAAAAAAGCTTCCTAGTTTTATTTTTTTAATACCTCTCTCTACACCAGTACTAAAAGTGCAGCAAATGTTTCCTAGTAAAGCACTTGCATATAGTTTTCAGAAAAGTGTGATTAAGGTTAACTTCCACTGTCTTTAAATATTAGCCTATTTTTTTCTAGTCATAAGCTATTTTCTAACAGGCTTATGTAAATATTTGCCTCTTGTCTAAGGGCAACAGTCTTGATTATTTAGGTTACACAAAGACTGCTTCTCAAGAAAACAAGCTTGCAATTTTAACACTTATTCTGTCTCCAGCTGGGAAAAAGACTTGGCATTTCTTCACCTCTGTTTATATAATTCTGTGAAATACCCATCATGATGTCTTTCACAGGTTTTAAGACCACAAGCCCTGTTACAACCCTACCCTGACTACCTGCACAAGATACGCCGTTAAGTCTTATCAGGTGGTTCTGTTCTCAACTGTTTACTGGTAGTTAGGCTATATCAAGTATTTTACAAACATCCAGTCCATATTCACCATACCTAATTAACATAGCCAAAGTAGCAAACTCACCTTCTGGATCCTGAGTAATGGGATTGATGCAGAGAAAGACACATATACAACCACAAAGAGCAGTTTGACACACCTCCTTCTCCCCACTGACTGTCAAGAGAACTCATCAATTTATTACTTCCAGTTAGGTGGGCTGAATACATACCATCCTTTTTTGTTCAGTATAAAAAGATTAGGATTGATACTGTTTCATCACCATTTAGTTTCTCCTTATTTTAAAGATAACAAACCAGAATTATTTTCTTACAAGAACATAAGAAGTAGAGATGTAAGAGAAGGATAAAAGTAATCACTTTTCCCTTAATTGAACAATCTCTGAATATCAGATTTAACCTATGTCGTGAAAGATGGTTTAAATCAGATGCTATGATTCTCCTGTTCTCCAGCAAAATCGTGTTTCCTAAACCATTTAGCTACATTCCTTCACTGTACCTACCTAGGCTACCGGCTGCTACTGCAGACTGCAGAGCAAGAGCCAGACTTGGAACCATCTGCTGGTAGTACACGGTATCGGAGCAAACACACGCTGTAGCGCCCACAGGTCCTGGCCAGCTTCGGACAGGCCTGGGAAACCCAACCAAAAATACCGGTAGCGTGAAGAGCGGCAGCAAGGGAGAAGAAAGGAGCGCAGAGATGGCGATGAAGGTCAGCAGGATTGGGAAGAAAACGACATTGAGTGTGATTAAGGTGGCGGTAGATTTACGACGTTGTTTTTTCTCTGTCCACGATGTCAAAAGAATAGCTATGGCAAACTGCAACTTTGAGACAAACTGAAGCACTCGATCACGTAGGATACCAACCTGCAAGATACATACAACAAGCACGTTTATTTGTATCCTGTATCATATCATATTCAGCACTGCCAAAGCTGCCTTATCTACAAGGATTTTAAGAAAATGAAGTGTGATTATCACTGACTGGTATTAGAGTGTATATCTTAGTACACAGTTTTTTAGCTTCTATTTGCTAGGTCCTTGGACTCTGTAATTCTCTAATAGGGGAGGGCAAGGAAACAAAGACTTTAAGTGACAACTATCTGCTTAAATTTACATTATGACAATTACCAGCAAGAGTCTGATCCCTGTATCAAGGCTCCTGTTCCACCAGAGGTCTGGATTAAACACCCACACTTGTGCTATTGACACAACCACTATGTCCAGTAGGGCGTTTTCTGTATTCTGCCAGACCTAAAATAGAGATATGTTAGACATACATTTAAAAATTTATTTATCCATCTCTGCTTTCATGACCTGGAATATTTCTTCCAAGTCACCTTAATACTTAAATCATGTAGAAGAGTTTCTTAGGCTAACATATTTAAAATTCAAATTACCATCCTAAATATTCTTGTGAATCCAATGCAAACAGACACAGAAGGAAGATTTTGTAGTGAACGGTCTAGTGACAGGAATGCTATCATAGCAAACGGAGACACTGTAATTGAAATAAAAGAAACATTGATTTCCTTTCAAAAACATAATTAAAGTCTACAGAGGTAAGCAGTCTTATTGCAGAATGGAAATTTTGGAGTAAAAGGAGAACTCTTCCCTTCATTATTACAAACTCCTCTTTGTATTACACTTTCAGGATATCAACCAGTGTATTTGCAGTAATGGCCCAAGATGGCAAACATTTATGTCGATGCTTAGTTGTTATTTGCTATTACTTTTTTGTTGTTTGTTTGTTTCCCCAAGAGAATGGGAATACTCAAATAAGAAAAAATAAACATGGGAATAGCACTCATCAATCCACTTCCCCAAACTGATGCTTCTTTACAAAATTAAATAATTTAGATCAAATTTTGGTTCCCCCAAAGTAGATACATTTGTCCCTAACCTACCAGAAAGGAGACTGTTCCCTTCACTAGCAAGTTGTAAGAACCAAATATCTAGTCACCTTGAAGACTCTCAACTCACTTTTGTTTCCAAGTACCTTTTAAAAAAATCTACAAGAGCCATTTTTTCCAAAAGTGAGTACTGATGTTATAACTGAAATCCTTTAAAAGGCCTGGCTTTCTGAGCTGGACTTTTAAAAAGCTCAACTTTTTAGGTTTACCCCTAAAAAAGAAATAAATAAAATCACTAATCACTTTCAAATATTCTGAACCAGTAATTTTGACCTCAATGCACAATTTAGCAAAACATAACAAATATTTCCAGCTACTTGTTTTTTCTTGGTTCATTCATGGAATCTTGCACATACAGTAATTCTAGTGTTCTTTCAATCTTCCTACAAGCATCATCTAACAAACAACAGACAGTGCGTATTCCTACCTAGTGTTAGTAAAATCCTCCTGACAACACCAACTTTCATTAGCCTTCTTTGCTTCTCCATGAACACAGTCACAGTCCTGACATCCTTTGGATAAAAGGGGTTTCGGAAGACTCCAAACAAGTACACTCTCTGAATCTCTCTAAGAATCCACATAATTATAAGTAATATGATCAGAATGTAACTCGCTATAGCCTGTGGACTGGCCTTGGAAAATGATGAAAAGCCTGCAAATTGATGCAGCAGGCTAGCTTCTATGAGAGCAAATGTCAACACAGTCAAATAAAAAATAAATTCCCTCCACCCAAATTGTATTCTAAGACCTCTGTGCATATTTTTTGATTTGCTGGAGGCTAAATGGCTGATCATGGTGTGTTTGAAGGCAAAACCAATCTCGCTTAGGTTAAGACTCAGTATGAACCCAAATCCAGTCATGAAGAGGATCACACCGAGAGTGCTGGGAATGAAATACGATGCTATTGCTGTTCCAGCAGAAATGAGAAACATTACTAATAACCTGTGAAGGAGAAAATAAAAAAGATTTGCTTGAAAAGAAAAAGGTTATAAACAATATTGATACATTTTACAATTATATAAGCAACATTTACTTTGTGTTACTTGACATAGGTGAACCTCCTAGTCCAAACTCCAACAGTTGTTCCATTCCCCATAGAAAAAGTGCGTCAAGTGGGGGCAGAATTCCCATTGCCCATAAGAATGGCAGAAAAAGAAATATGATGTGCAAAATCTGGTTTGTCTGTTCTAGAATGGGTGTGTTGACAGCAAACCTGGATAAAAGAAGAAATGTATTTGAATTCTGTGAAGGAAAAAATAACTGATGTGTGGGAAGACTTTTTGTTTAACTACTACAGCAATTCCAGAAGTATAAACATTACATATTCAATCTACAAAACCTCAACTAGTATCTTTTAAAAGGAAAAATAAGGACATACATTTATGCTTGGGGCAGTAACACACTAATTAGAACATCAGAACACGGGCTAATTTTTCATTCAAAAGATTTGAAGCCTTCAAATTACACAGATGAGTCAGGTGATATAAGTATGCTAATTGTTTTGATACTGTTGTGATAATACACTCAAGAAATACTTGTGCAAAAAGAAAGGCCCACAGGCTCTAAGACCTCAACAATTTAACAAAAAAATGCTAAGTATTTTTTCAGAATTAGAAAAGCAAAACTTTATGCAAGTCCAAGACCCAAGATGTAAGCCTTAACACTGAAAGAATGCCTGTACACCAAGAGATAAACTCTCTTTAGGAATATAAAATGTTATTTTCTACATAAAAGTATTAAAATCTTCCTGTAAAAAATATAAAGATCAATATTAGAAATCTGCATAAATTCTAAGTCATATATAGTTCACCAGTTAGCTAATTAAGTTAAAGGTGGACTGCTAAGATATTTGGTTTCTCTTTACTTCTTAATAAGTAAGCCTCAAAGGAATTTTGTCAGGAATTTAAAGAATGTCTGAATTTTCTCCTCAGGAAATTACATAGAAGAATTTGGGGTCCAATACCACATGTATAAATTCTCATATCATAACTGAAGAGGCAACTAGAGTAAATCATTAACAAAGACATCTCCAAGTGCAAAACTAGTAAAATCAAACATGCTTTTTTTTTAATGCATTTGAAGTAGCCCAACCATAAACCACATACATGTGACAAAGTGATATTTATATCACCCAACAGGGAGAAAGAATGCATAGAGTAAATCTAAACCCATCTTGCTTTAAGAGATTCTACAAATACTTTAGCTAAGACACTTGTCTGAAAAGTGGAAATATAAAAGTCTTCTACTTGTAGACTGGCATAGTTCTTTTGTATTACAAAAGCATTTAAAAATCGAAGTTCAAAATCCATGTAATAAAGATATAGTAATGTTCAAATTTGCTTATCCATTCATTAAAACCAAATTTGTAGTCCTTTTTTGCCTGTAGTTTAAAACCCGCTGCAATCACTTTGCAGACATTAAATTGGAAAATAGTCCAGGATGAAATCTGGATATAAATCCAGCACTCCTGGAGTTTGCAGTGTTTACATCTATGATTCCAGGTCAGGAACATGTGTTTTCAAAACACATCCTTTAAAAGGATGTTGATGCAAATGCTCTTGTACAAAAATACTGAAACTGACATGGCAGAAGATAATTTTAGCTGTCCCTTACTTAGAAACTGCTCTAACTGCTCTTCCTAATTTATGTGGAACGCTATAAAAATTTAAGAACAACCTTTTATGCACAGGGTAGAGCCTCAGTTTCTACCATTCTAGCTTCTTTCTTTAGAGTTCCTACTGTTGATTAAAATATCAAAATAAAGTTTCCTCAGAAGAATAATTTCACCTTTCTCATCAAAAATACAGAGAATAACCATTGCTTTAATTAGCTAAATGCTGTATTAGGTTTACCTGTGTGCAAGATCCACTGCAATAAAGACAAAAATATAGAAAGGTCTCATCAGAGCAGTGATTTCGTAAGTATCCAGTGCTTGGAAAGTAGCTGTTTCGGTAGCTGTATTTATGATTAATGAATACTCTCCTATACATATAGTCACCCATCCAAATACAAAGATCATAACAGTTCCTCCAATGTTGCTATATAGCAAGGTTATTCTGTTTGGCAGCAAATACCAAGTTCCCAACCCACACAATACCCCTGCCAGAAGGGAATGAAACACAGTGTTGATTATATACTTCTTGCCAGGAATAATAAATTTTACTGTCTCTGAACCTACACAGCTGGAAAATTCAAACTCATCTTCATCTGTTAGGGTATTCTGAATTTGCATTCTTTCTACTGTCACTGTTTTCTGCTTTGCATATAGATTTGTCATCTGAAGAATAAGTGCAGTAACAAACATCAGTCCTCCTGAAAGTGCTGCGGTATAGTAGTCTTTCATAATGCCTAATTGGTACAAAAGTGTTCCTACTCCTCCCAAAACCCATGGCATCAAGAAAAGAATAATCTGATTCACATATACGTAAGGAGGGGCACAATAGCCTAATTTAAACCGGGGACCTCCCAGCAGAGTCTGTGGAAAGCGCTTCAAGAAGAACTCCTGTTTGTAATCATTCAGCAGAGGTACATCTGGACCCATTCTTATTACTCAGGAATGCTGGATGAATATCATTTTTCCTGCAAGAGAACAGAAAGAAAAAGAAGGAAACATTACTGAATCTGGAACTCGGAACTTAACCAGAGAATTCTTTTGTCCTGTTTTCATTTACCAAGTTATAGCAGAATTCTGACATGTTAGTATTAGTAGACATCATCCTAAAGCACTCACAGAATGTGCTAGAATACAACTACTAAGCAAACACCTAAAATGGAAAAAGCTATCTATTTTAAAATGTAAACATATTCTTTAATCTGAAACTTAGGCAACAAATAAAATGTATAGTCTGTTCTTGGGAGATGATAAAACCAACTCATCTCCACACCAGAACACCTTCCTAAAACTGATTTTTTTTTCCATCCAATCTGATTCCAATCACATCTTGCCACAGGCCTCTAATTCTAATTAACTCTGTTATGGATCTCCATATACAAACAGAATAGTCAGTGATTTCAGTGAATAGCCACATAAGTGCAAGGATACAGTCGCACCGAGGTCCCTGTAAAAATCAAAGCCTTATGAAATAAACTAACTATAAAAAAATATTAGTAGAAGCACTAAAAATTGTTTCCCACATCAGCATTTTTACTGTCCTCCCTACACAGCCTAGCTGCAGAACAAGAGCTCACTGTACTAAGCACTACACAAAACATAAAATAAACAGTTCACTTTCTGCTTCCTAAAACATAAAATAAGAAAAATAAACACAATACTTGTGAGTTGTAGCAGAATCGGTATATATTCTTCTATATGTCAATGGAGAAAGCTGAAAAAAGGAAAAAAAGATACCTGTAACATTTACAATGAATCATCAGACAGAAATCAGGTATGAATACTCGTTTAGAGAGGATCAGGCAATGTAGAAATAATGAATGTAAGATGGTAACTATGATATTCAAATACAATTTTATGCTACTAGTCACGAAAGCAAGAATCGATGAATGACAGGCAAGAATATTCAAGCTAAGAAACAGGGTGAAAAAACAGCACAAAAATGCGGTGCTAAAGCACTTCATTAATAATAATTCTTTAAAAAGAGATGTTGGTGTGCATTAGGAGATGTGCAAGGACTGAAATTCTGACTTTTTTTCTACTGGACCTATATAATCTGATGAATACCCATTAGCCATCATTGCTGATACATTAAAAATGAAACACTCGGCTGCCAGAGTTTACAAACTACTGTGATCCCTTCTTTCTACAAACCAAATGCTTTTAGTAGCTTCCAAGCAAGAACTATTTACTCCTTACATTTAAACAGATATCAATCAGTTAACTGTAGGCAGATACTGGTCATCATGGGACTAAGTTAGAAACAGTGCAAATGAGAGAGATTAAAGGCCATTCATACACATTATCACAACTAGAAATCTGCATTCAGGGTCCACTAAGTCAATATACTCCACAATGAAAAGCAAGACCCCACAGGCTCTGTAACTACTCTCCATGTAGGCTGTGGATTTTTTTTTTTTTTTTTTAAGTAGAAATTCCAGTTTGGAATATTGAACACAGAATATTGAAAGCATAGAGGGGTGTTGGTCATACTATTTCAAGCCATTGAAAGTTTCTTAAGGGAAGGAGAAGGCAGCAGTCTGTCTTAATGGGAAAGACACATGTTGACTATGGAGAGGGGAATTCATCCCAGTCAGCTCAGGAATTTGAAAATGTAACAGGGACACACCCAACTAAAAACAAATTTCAAATGTAACAAAAAAAAATAATCACAATTCAGCCAATCTTGTTTAGAAAAGAAACACTGTTTAGAAGGCTACATAGGCATGAAACCAAGTCGCTGTGAAAGTTACATGCAGTAGATTTATATGCACATAAATGATACAAGCTGAGTTTTAAAAGAAATGCAGAACCAAAACGTGCATAGTTTTCCTTGAAAAACAGTTTTCAGGCAGCGTGTTTTTCTGCTCTAAGAAGGGCTATTTTTGTTTCAAGTTCTAGTCTGCATTTGTGTTTGTCAGTTTATATTGCTAACAAAATGTTAACAAAACATTCCTCTTACAGTTTCTGTGTAAACAATAGACATCTTTGTGTGAGACACAAAAATCTATGCACATAAACAATATAGTTCTACTTGGCTATACTCCAAAGTGAGCCATAAAAAGATGTGAATTTATTTATAAATGAAAATCCCAAGACTGAAGCTCACAAACTATGGAAACGATACCCTCGACTATCCATCTGGCTTCCAAATAGTCAGGTAGCACATTAGGACTTCAAAGAGGCACTCATGCGTGTCTCGTTATTTCTGTGCAAAGCCCTAGCAACAAGACTCCACACATTAGTGAGTGTTTACAGGACCTGGCTTCAATATACATTCCTAACATACAGGCCTGGCCTGACTTTGACAACTTGCCTGGTTACCCAAACAATCCGCACCACAACAATTTGTCATCACCAGCAGGGATCCATGCGACTTTGATATTATCGTAACAAGGATAGTAAAAGAACTTTAACACCATAAGGTCATTTAACAAGTTCCCTCCTGCAATATCCTCTCTATGGCCTTATTACAAAAGGAAAGAAAGCAAATCTTTCTTGAATTCAGGCAGAAATTCACAGGAGGGCAGGAATTTTTGCCTAAATGAACATCATCCTTCACATCCACTGAATGGCGGATCAGCTCAGTGTGGTTTGGTTTTATTTCAAGCAGATTACAGGAGAACACGTGTACAGCTCTCAGCCACCTAAGCCACTGAAGCACATAAGCCTTAAAAATACTTACCTCTGAGGTCTTCCAGGTCTTTTCATGTGAGACTAAGTAACAGTTATAAACCCCCTACTAGCACAGGAGGGAGGAATGCCAGCGTGGGAGGCGCGGGGGGAGCCGGGGCAACCCCTGCCAGGCAAATCCACCTGTGTGCCCAGACACCTGCACCTCTACTCCACAGTTAAAGATCCGGCTGTGCTGCAGGCTGGCTTCTAACCCAGGAGCCAGAGGGAGCAGACTGGGGGCCTCTCCTCGACAGCATCGACGCTGTCCCCCAGCGAGACCGGGGACGCAGCGTTTTAGGCCAACACGCTCCATCCAGTCATGGGAAGAGCATCCCGGGACTACCTTTGGGAAGGGCCAGACCCCCTCCTTCCCGAGACACCTCTGCACCTGACCAGACGGGCTCCCACAGAGCCGCCACACTTCCTCCCCAGCCCCCTCTCCCTCAAATCTTCCGCAGGAACGGAAAAATTAAAATAACCAAACGACCAAAAATAAAGCCTCTGCTGTTTTCAACTCCGGAGGGGAAGGGAAGCCACGCAGCCACCGGGTCCGCCGAGGGATGGCCGGTGGGCAAACCCAGGGGCGGGCAACGCCGATCAGGCAGAGCCAGACGGGACGGGCGGCCTCCCCCGACCGACCCCCGGGCTGTGCCCGCACCGCCGCCTCCCCGCTTCGGGGAGGCCCTGGCGCCTCTGCCTGCTCCAGTGAAGGGCCCCGCGGCGCCCGGGGAAAGCGGGCAGGTGGGTGCCTGCACCCCTGCGGCGAACGGCCGGGGCCGGCGAAAGGCAGCCGCGGTAAAAGAGCCTCTGCGAGGCGGGCACCTACCTCTGGCCCGGACTCGGAGCAGGTCAGGGGCTTTGCGGGGCGGGGGGAGAAGGGGAACGGGGGCTGAGCCTGCGGAGGGAGGAGGAGGAGGGAGGATGGCGGAGCGCTCCCCCCTCCCGCCCCAAGGCTTGTCCTGAAGGAGGGAGCGCGAACGGCGCAGGCCGCGGCCGGGCGCTCCTCCCCGCCGGCAGTGCTGCAGTTGTTGCTGTTGCTGCTGCCGCTGCTGAGGAGGGAGGTGGAGGCGGCGGCTAACGGCGGCGGTGAGGCCCGGCCTCGCCGCGGCGGCCCCCTCCCCTTCCCGCCCCCTCTTCCCTCCCCTCGGCGACCGCCGCCATTTTGCCCGCCTGAGGCAGCCGGTGGCGGCGAGGCGCCGCGGGGGTCCGCGCTGCCTACGGGAAATGGCCCCGGCCCGTCGGGTGGCTTCTCCCGGGCGTCTTCTTGGCGGGGTCGGCACAAGAGCTGCGAGGGACGGCGAAGGCGAGGGGCTGATCGCCTTCCCGCTCCCCGGTGGCGGGGCTTTGCCCCCGCGGCGGGCTGGTGCCCCGAGCCCGGCGGCTACCTGCCGCCCCGCCCGCCCGCGCTTCCCTCAGCAGTACGGGTTTTCGCAGCTCTGCTTTCCACACATAACCGTCGTCCTTCTGTTGTAAAATTAGGCGTGAGGCATCTCTCTAGCTGTGGCCTGCCAGCAGCTTCCCGAAGCGAAGAGGAAGGTGAAGAAAATCCCTCAGTCCGCAGAGGAGCTGTGGCAAGGCAGGCAGGGGCTGGTCCCTCCGTAGCTGATGAATCTGTCACTCAGGCGGCTTCGGTTTCCTCAAGTTTCTTTCCGTCCCTCTCAGAGCTGGCATGGAAATGTCAGAGGCTGTTTTTTTTCATCACTTTTCCAGTCGTTTTCATCATCTTCCCACATTAACAAGAGTGCAAACCCAACCAAATTAGTCTGTTTCTTTACTTATTACAACATTCAACATGCAACATTCTAATATTAAAACATTAAGCGCAAATACTCAATCCACAGCATACTGACGTGATACTAAAATACTCTTTAAAAGTTTCCTTAATCTTGAATGTTAATGGTGTTTCTCTGTTTATGTATAACTTCTTCAAGATGAGAACACTGGTTCTAGCCTCAGGTAGAGGAAAATGCATTCTGAGTTTTCTTCTAGGTTAAATAAACTTGAGCATTCACTGGCAAATTGAAATGTGAATCCAAATACTGCAATACTACTTACCACTTCAAATTACACCCATTAAACATTGAGAATATTTAATAGAGTGAGTATGCTTAATATAATTTATATCTAATAATACTAAAATGTATAAGTCACTGTATTCATTAGAACACTAAGGCATGCATGTCTACCTTAATATCTATGTTATAACAGTCACCATATAAATACTTACAAACAGTTATATCTGTTTTAATCTGAATTCCTAATTTAACACACAGGCATACGCTTAGAATT